CGCTGGCCGCGGGGGCGCCACCCTCGCTCTCGGAGTCGGAGTCGTCGTCGCTGCCGTCGTCATCCGACTCGCTGTCGCTCAGCGACGGCGGTTTGTGGGACACGCTCGGCGTCTTGCCCCCCAGCTGCGCGTAGATCTTGCCCCTTGCCTCCTCCACGCTGTGCTTCGACGGCGTCTTGGCATCGGCCGACGCGGCGGGCGCGGGCGCCGCGTCGGCGAGCGGCGGCGGCTCGGCCTGGTTGGGCGTGCATCGCCTGAAGGGAACGTCGCGGTCGCGCAACGCACCGCTGTCCTCGCGCCCGCGATTCAGCGCAATCGCCCTGTCGGCGAGCTGCAGCGCCATGTCGACACTCGATTGCTCAGGAGAGCTCTTCAGGCGGGCTTTGTTCTCCCGCATCGGGACCGCGTCGCTCACACGAGCAGCTGGGTGACGTCCAGCGGGCACTTGACTGGGACATCGCCACTTTCGGCGTACACGCGAGAATAGACGTCTCGGTGCGCCCTCCGCATGGCAACCGTGTCCGCGGGGAGCTTATCGACGAACGACGGCTCCACCTCGGCAAGGCGCTTGCACTCCTTCCACGGGAGGAGCTTCTTGGTGCACGACTTCGCCCTCTTGAAATAGCCGAACAGGGCCAACGGGGGCTGGCGCATTGCCCGCTCGAAGCCCTCCACCGCGAGGGCGGTGCACGTCACCATTTGGATCGTCGGCTCATGCAACGTGCGCAACCCGAGTTTTTTGCACGCCTGCATCATGACCGCAACTCGGCCCATGAAGTCGCTGTCCGCATCCAGTATGTCCGCCCACTGCGCCGCCGTCAGGTATGATGTGATCGACGTGAAGTCCTGCATGGGCGTCCTGGTCACCGACATCAGCTCTGCGCCCGCGGCAGCGTTGGCAACCAACATATTCGCCGACGTTGTGGCTAACTCCGTGACGCGGCCGAGCAGCATGGCCATCTTCTTCTTGCCGAATGGCATCTTGCCGATCTGCAAGATCAGCGCGGCCGAGTCCTCGGCGGAGACGAAGGTCCACGGCTCCATAACGCTCATCGCCATGCAGCACTGCGCCGTCACGACCTCCTTATATGCATTGCTCCCCTTCTCAAGCTGAGTGAGGAACGATGCGGCGGCCTTCAGCTGCTCCACCAGCGCGCTGGCCGCCATGATGCTAGCGCGGCGGCAACGGGGGCGCGCGCACCCGCCAGGGCCAGCAACGGCTAACCAGTGGACGGCTAAGCTAGCGGCAATGACCGCACAGCGATCGAGATCGCTTTGCCCTCCACCGCCTCCGACTCCCCCCCCTCCCCAACCCTCCCCCTCCCTGATGCTCTTCACCCAATCCACCACTTCCATCCGCTCTCTGGTCGAATAAGCCTCATCCTCCGCCTCATCACCCCCTCCTCTATACCATCCTCCTTACCCACTCCCGAGCGATCGCCATCGCTACTACCTCCCCATACACTCCCCCTCGCCCAAGCGGTCGCCATCGCTATTTCCCAGCGCCCCCACCCACCCCCACACCACCACCACCGCCACCACCACCACCACCACCACCACCACCACCACCACCACCACCACCACCACCACCCCACCACCACCCACCCCCCCCCACACCCACCCACCACCACCCCCCATCACCTCCGCCCCCTCGCCCCCTCGCCCAAGCGATCTCCATCGCTACCTCCCAATCCACGCCCCCCCTCGCCCAAGCGATCTCCATCGCTACCCCCCAATCCACGCCCCCCTCGCCCAAGCGATCTCCATCGCTACCTCCCCCCCCTCGCCCCTTCGCCCAAGCGATCGCCATCGCTACCTCCCAATCCACGCCCCCCTCGCCCAAGCGATCTCCATCGCTACCTCCCCGTGCACCCCCGCCCCCACCCCCCCTCGCCCCTTCGCCCAAGCGATCGCCATCGCTACCTCCCAAGCCACGCCCCGCTCGCCCCAGCGATCTCCATCGCTCCCAAGAACGCCCGTCCAGCGGGCCGAAAGCGCCTCCGAAAGGCGCGTTTCCCAGACGCCCCGACCTCCTGCGTCAGCCGAAGGCGCCTCCGAGAAGCCCCAACCTCCTGCATCGCCCGAGGGGGGGACGGGAGAGACGATGGGGGACGGGAGAGGCGATGGGGGACGGGAGAGTTGATGGGGGACGGGAGAGATGATGGGGGACGGGAGAGATGATGGGGAACGGGGGAGAGAGAACCCAATACCTAAACCTAAAACATCCAGAAACCAAAACCTCACCAAAACAACTTCGACGCACCCAAAACCACCAGAATCCGAAACCTAAGCCCAAAACCTCAAGAACCCCAAACCTCCTCAAACCAACCTCGACGACGGCGAGGGCGCCGTCCTCTCACCCATAGGGTGGATAGCCTCAACTCCAACACAAGGAAGTCCTTGTCCTGGAGTCCTGGGCGAGTTCCTGCCATCGTCGTCGTCACCGTCGTCTGAGGCAGCTTCATCGCCATCATCATCATCGCCGTCATGATCATCATCATGATCGTCATCATCATCGCCATCATCGTCATCGCCTGTCATCATCACCATCGTCGTCGCCATCATCATCATCATCATCAACGTCGTCATCGGCATCATCAGCGACGTCATCATCATTGCCGTAGTCGTCGTCATCATCGTCAGGATCGTCGGCAATCGTCGTCATCATCATCATCAGTGTCGTCAGTATGGCCAGTATCGTAGCCATCGTCGTCGTAGTAGTCGTCATCGTCATCGTCGTTATCGTCATCATGCGCGTCACCGCGTCCATCGTTACCCAAACGATCGCCATCCCTGCCTCCCCCACTCCTCTTCCTCCTCCTCCTCCTCCTCCTCCTCCTCCTCCTCCTCCTCCTCCTCCGTCTCCTTCCCCAAGCGATCGCCATCGTTACCTCCCCCACTCTTCCTCCTCCTTCCCCAAGCGATCGCCATCGCTACCTCCCCCAATTCTCTCCTTTTGCGCGCGCGCGGCGCGGGCGCGCGGCGCGGAGGAGGGAGGGAGGGAGGGGGAGGGAGGGAGGGAAGGAGGTAACTTACAAGTTACTTATAAGTAACTTATAAGTAATACTAAGTGATGGTGCCTAACATGTGTTAAGTAACTTACAAGTACATATATGTAATTTACCCCGCTCGGCGATGGATGGAAAATAATTAGAAGTAGCGCAAATAAGTTATTTCCGCAAGAGGAGCACTTAAAAACAGATGCCGTTAGTTAGGGAACATACTCAACATATACTGTTACTTAACACAGAACAGAAGTAACTTACACCCAGCTATAGGTAGCTCGTAAGTACGCCTAAGATCTTGAAGCCTTTAAGCGGGCTCGGGCCCGGGCCCGGGCCGGGGCCGGGGCTCGGGCTCGGGCTGAGACTCGGCCGGGGACTGCGCTTCCACAGAGGATTTTTCGTCGTGCCAGCGGCCCGCTTTGCGTCTGCTCCCTGGGCGCGTGGCAGCGGCAGTGCTGCCAGTGGCGCGGGCAGGGGCAACAACAGGTCGGGCGGCTTCCAAAATGGGGTCTGAGTAGATGGGTTCTGAGAATCGCGCCGCATCGCCGATGCATGGCGAATCGGCGAAGCATCGCAGCCGTCGGCATGGAGAGCATCGGGGCCCAGCATTTGTCGGCAGAGACGTCCTCAGCATCATCTCGGAAGTCTCGGGAAAGAAACGTACTCCATCTTCCGCTGCACGCATGTGTGACCCTAGGCAAGAGTGACCTTGGGTGCGAAGCCGCACGGGGGCCAAACCCAAGCCGCGCCAGCCGCCGCTGTTGTCGCATCACATTCAACCATCGGGGGACCCCAGTTGGCCCGCGCCAAACGCCACTCCGACAAGGGGTCGATCTTACGCGTAGCCGACACAGGTTCTTGCAAAGGCTGCCCAGCGTCTCCAGCAGAAACGCGAGACGCTCGGAGTCGGTTACAGATCTTCTATGGAGCTGCTGCACGTTGCTCCAGCAACCTCCCATGTGACAGGCCGAGGGGCAGAGAAGGACGCGTCGGAGACGACGGTCGACGGAGACGAGCAAGACAGGTTAGCGTGCTAAGATCTCTGGTAACAGATTAGCGTGCTAAGATCTCTGGTAACAGGTTAGCAGTATTTCTAGTTCGCGCATGCGTGGCGGCCCCTGGGGACCCCCGCATGAAGTACCCCAGCTAGTGCCTGGTCGGGTCTGGTCCCCCAGAGCGCTCCAGGAGCGCGCCAAGAGGGCGCCGACCCGACACGGTCCAAAGGCCCCGAGTCGCCGAAAGATCGCTCCAAGACGCCCAAGATGGTCTCCACACGGCCCTAGAGGCCGCCAAGAAGCCCCAAGAGAGCCTCAAGAGGATCTGCAAGAGGGCCCCAAAAAGCAAACATCGGCCCATTCGCATCGAAAAACTTCAATGTTTCGCATATGCGACGTTTGGGGGTTCACCGCGTCCACAACTGCCCGAGAGGCCCCCAAAAACGCCCCCAGACGGCCCAACAGGCCCCAAAGATGAGCCAAAGAGAGCCCTAGAGGGCCCCAAGACGGCCCAAGAGGAGACCAAGACGGCTCAAGAGGCACCCAAGGCTGCCCAAGACGGCCCCAAGAGGGGAAGATCCAAATCGCATTTCAATATTTCCGCCCCACGGGCCACCTCGGAGACCGTCAGCAGGCCCCCAAGAAGGCCCCAAGAGGCCCCACGAAGCCCCTAAGGGACTCAAAAAGAAGCCCCCAAGAGGCCGTCAAGAAACTCAACAAGAGGTTCCCCCCCCTCCAGAAAATGACAGCCGCCCAGTAGCACAGCATTGACGACAACACCCAGACAAACCACAGCGGCGAGACAATGTAGGCCGGCGGAATGAGCGACGCGATTGAATAACGGCGCCGAAAAACTGAGGGCGAGAAGGATGAGAGCAGGACAGCAATGATAAGGCGAGGACAAAGATGAAGGTGAGGGCGACGATGCTGGACAGGAAGCAGACGGTGACGACCTCCTCAATGTGGCAGCGGCATAAGCGACCGATTCGCAGGCGGGTGCCTCTGAGGATCTCTGACGCCACCTCCGTAAGCATCACAGTACTTCTCCCACCTGTTGGGCGCAAAGCAACAATGACTTCTCATGACTCGATCCCCCTCCCCAAGTGGGAGGAATGCTGCGGACAGTGAGTTTGCGCATTCGAGGTTTCAGGAGCATGGGAGGAGCAGGAACAGCAAGAGAAGCAGGATGGGTACGAGGGGGACGAGGAAATGATGATGGTGAACATGTAGCCAAAATGGGCTGGACTGGTTCCAAATCTGCAGGGGTAGGAACCCAGGCCGAGGACGCAGCTGTCCTTGCTGGACAGAAGTGTGCTCGGAGCCCGTGCCGGCCCCGCTTCGCTGGGACGGGGAGAGAAGGGCGATGGCAGAGGAGGAAGAAAATGGGAAGCGGTGGGATGGAGATTGGGGAGCGCTCCAAGGGGGGGGGGGTCGCAAATCATGGCCCGAGGCATGTGCTCGGACGGGGGGTTATGTTGCATCCTCGGGGGACCTTGTATGTCCCCTCTCGACCCTATCCGCGCTCGAATCGGTGTCGAATCCATGTCGGACTCGTCGGATCCGTGTCGAATCCGTGTCGAACCCGAGTCGAATCCACGCCAAATCCGAGTCGAGTCCGCATCGAGCCCGCGTCGTGCACAAGAAAAAACACCAAGTTGGGGGACAAGCGAAGTCCCCCGGAGATGCAAGGTAAGGGGGACGTGCTGAAACAGGTAGCGGACTCATGAAAACTGGAGAGATGTTGTGGCCCGGGCCACGAGATCCCCCACCCTAGGAAGGACCCCAGTCTTGTCGGCGCGCACAGAGGGGTAGGGGTAGGGCGGAAGGCTTCTTAGAATGAGGCTGCTTCTTAGAAGGGGCCGGCGCTACATCCACAGAGAAGGCCCGCGCCTTCCAATATCCAGGAGTGCTTCCAAAAAGCCTTCCCCATCCCCCATACCCCTCTCTGCGCGTGGCCCCTACTCATTGCTTGGACGCCGCCGAGGGATGTGAGCTCGAGCCTTGACTTAGGACGGGCATGTCCTCTTACAGGCGGTTTTGGGACGAACAACTCAAAACAAAAAATCCAAAATTAATCAAACATAGCGGAAAGAACACGAAACATCGTCCCCGGACCATCTTTTAACCATTCTCGAATATTCACCCTGTGGGAACACATGCCCGATTAAACTCTGATCATCGCTTGGACACCCGCGAGGGATGTGAGCTCGAGCCTGGACATGGCTGCCTGCTTCTGGAGGGCAGCGGCGTCAACTGTCGGGGGGACGTGAGACTCGGGTTCGGGGACTCGGGTTGGCCTGGCGAGGCCGTCAAGAAAATGCCGAGACCCAGTCTGAAATCTGACGCGAGCTCCCGCTGAAGACATCCCACGAAGATCAGTCCGTCAAAGTACAGGACGAGCTCGTCAAAAGGCGCCGGCAAACCCGAGTTCCACCGAACTCGAGTCGTACGTCTCTCCGCAAAGGTGCCGATAACGCTCCTCCCCAAATCTCTCCCAGGATGTTTTCTGACCAGGATCTCGAGGCGAATCCAGCCCTGGCGGCGAGGGCCTCCCAGGAGGCCACAAAAGGCGAGAACGAGGTAAGGGCAGCGGTGGCAGTACCTTCTCTGAGACGAAGCCAGGACGAGGACAACATCGGGTGAGGATGAAACGAGAATCTCTGAGATCCGGCGGCTCTGGAGGATGTATCGGGCGCCGCGGCCTTCTCAGAGCGTTCCCGAACGCTCTGAGAGCGTTCCGGAACGCTCGTGAACGGAGGGAGGAGGGAGGAGGGAGGAGGGAGGAGGGAGGAGGGAGGAGGAGGAGGGAGGAGGGAGGAGGGAGGAGGGAGGAGGAGGAGGGAGGAGGGAGGAGGGAGGAGGGAGGAGGCGTATCCTCGTCCTCTAGCCCCGTTCGATTCTCCTCCTCAAGGGCGAAACCTCCTCAGATCGGAGGCCTCGTCTCTGGGGGAGCCAGGGAAGTACCGATGCCGCCACTCCCATTCGACCGCCCCCGGGGTGCTGTCTGACCGCATCTCGAGGGAAGCCCACGGTGGCGACGAGGGGCTCCCAGGAGGCCCAAAAAGATGAGAAACGAAGCAAAGGTAGCGGTTTGGGTACATGCCCCCCCTCCGAGTTCGGGCGAACTCGAGTCTACTACGCTTCCCCGAAACGGACCACCTCGCCGACCCTGGCCTCAGGTCGGGCATGTCCTCCTACAGGCGGAGCTTGAGAAAACGAAAGAGAATCCAAAAATGATCAACCGTCTTGTTGTTCCAACACTTTGGATCACTGAGGGATACATGCGCAAACAACTCTGAGAAGCAGGCCTTCCTCGCACGAAGCGCGGGCTTGCCACTGACTTCCAAGTCGCCCGCACCCCGAACGCGAAGTGCCCAGAAAGGCCATCGCGCGGAGACAGCGGCCAACACGCTAACTGCCACCCCTGGCTGCCAACTGCTACATCTCGCAACATCGGGCACCAGGCACTTGCAGCGCAGTCACGATCGCTGCACACGCCCTGAGGCTGTGGCGCCTGTATCGAATCGGATCTGCAGCCCTAACTTCAGCTCGCCAAACTGCACGAAGCGCTGAGGGTACGTCCACAGTCACATGAACAATTGGTGGATCAAGAGATCCGTTCGCTATTTCCAGCAGGAACGATCTATGAAAATTCTCGAACACCTCTCGTAATTTCGGATGTGATGGCTTTGGTCAGTGCTACCAGACGCATCAACGAAGATTGAATCTTCGCTAGCACCTCTCGTAATTTCGGATGTGATGCTTGGTCAGTGTCACAGCCTACGCCTCTCCGTGGCGAGACAGCGCTTATGTCACCGACGGGTTCCGGGACCACTTTTGGCGACATGCTCCGCAATCTCCACACGAGGATTAGCGCCACGGTGCAGATGGCGATGCCCCCAGGACGACTAGAACAAATATGGCCAGAATATTCGCGACTGCCTCATTGATCGCATCCTGGCCCAGATCAAGCTGCTCAGTATCACCAACTGCCACCGAGGACGCCATATTTGTCCGTACAATCACAACAGGAGCGGACACAACAGGAGTCGTTATCGTAGGAGCGGATGTGATCACAGACTCAACGCTCCAATCAGCAGCAGCCATGGCACTGTCAGTGTGGGCCTTGATGTCGGCTGCAGCTCCAGCAGTCGTTGTAGAAAGGATCGTCGCCGTACTTTCTTCGGCGACCGAAATCGTAAAGCTGGTCGTCACGGAGACCGTATCCGACAGCTGGCGGACGGCAGCCGAGAGACGGCGGGCGTCCACGGCGAAATCGCAATAGCGGAGGCACGAATGGAGAAAGCAGCTACTAAACCAGCCTCCTTAGCGCCCTTTAAGTCGCGGACGCCATGAAGACCGACGAAGTTATACCCATCGGTAGACTTTCGCGCGCCGTGTAACCAGCAAAGACTGCAAAGATAGGGATCGAATGCACCACGTCGTAGGTGGTCGTGGCTGTGAGCGACGTCGGCAAGCTTGTCAAGCCGCTGGTCCCAGTCGTGCTGGACACGATTGTGCGGCTGCTCGCGCTCACACTGCTCACCGACGTGCTGGTCGCAATGGTGCGCAGCAAAGTGGTAGTACTTGTCACGGTGGTGCTTGCCATACTGTTCATACTGGTCACTGTGGCGCCTGTCAGAATGGCTGTGCTTGTTGCGGCGGTGCTGGTCATAGTGGCAATTCTGGCCACGCCTGTGCGGCTGCTTTCGCTCACACTGCTCAACGACGTATTGGTCGCAATGGTGCTCATCATAGTGGCAGTACTTGTCACGGTGGTTTTGGTCATAACGGTTGTACTTGTTGTATTCGTCACTGTGGCACCTGTCACAATGGCTGTGGTTGTTGCGATGGTGCTGGTCCTAGTGGTAGTGCTGACCACGCCCGTGCGGCTGATCGCGCTCACGCTGCTCAACAACGTACAAGTCGCAGCGGTGCGCAGTATAGTGGTAGTACTTGTCACGGTGGTGCTGGTCATAGTGATTGTACTTGTCACGGTGGTGATGATCATAACGGTTGTACTTGTCACGTTGGTGCTGGTCATACTGGTTGTACTGGTCACTGTGGCGCCTGCTATAATGGCTGTGGTTGTTGTGGTGGTGCTGGTCATAGTGGTAGTGCTGGCCACGTTTGTGCGGCTGCTCTCGCTCACACTGCTCAACAACGTAAAGTCGCAGTGATGCGCAGCATAGTGGTACTACTTGTCACGGTGGTGCAACTCTTCATGGTTGTACTTGTCACGGCGGTGCTGGCTGTAATGGTTGTACTTGTCACGGTGGTGCTGGTCATACTGGTTGTACTGGCCACTGTGGCGCCTGTCGTAATGGATGTGTTTGTTGCGGTGGGGCTGGCCATAATGGTAGCTGCAAACACGGCAGCGACGCGCGCTACCGCTGCCGATGCCTCGTCAGAACTCTCTTCCTCATCTTCAACCTCGTCCTCCCCCGCGCGGCCACTGCTCGAATCTACGACTCGTATGGCACCTCGATCTTCTCCCCCGCGTCTCAATCACGGCATTAGAGCACTTGGCACGAACGACGAGAACATGTGCTGGGCGATCAAGAATGGAGAAATCCACTGCGACGCATCGGCATGTCGCCCATGAGCTCGACGGCGCCCCCTGGAATGCACAAAGATGCATTCGCTGGGGCGACTGAAGTGCATCGCGGGGCCACGCCGTCGATGGGGGGCCCGCAGCGGCGGCGCTCGATCACTCTTCGCCAGCGCCCGCGCGCACCCAGAGACCGACAGACTATCACGTGTGACATGAAAACGACGTGGAAGCGGAATCTGCGAAGCGCTGTGCAAAGCGTGCCAACGACACGGAAGCGGCGCACACCCGGCGGCGCGGGGTGGGCAGCGCAGCGCCACGAGCCCCTGGCAGGCGCACGCCCCGAGCAGGGCCCCGGGGCAGCCGGCGGAGCCGAGGGGCCCCCCGCCCGCCCCCAGGGGGCGGCCGACCGCGGCCGAGCGCCCCCGGGGTCGGGGCCAACCCCCTCCCCGCGGGGGAGGAGGGGGGATGGGGCCTGTCGGGCTTGGATTCCGCTTGGGCTCTGCTGGCCTGGCCTCCGCAGGTGCGAAGCACACGCACACCGGCGGCGAAGACGAGCCTGCCGCCCACCCCCGGGCCTGCCCTGGGCGACAGGGCGGAGACTCCCGAGGCGCAGGGCGGCCGATCGGGGAGGACACGCGAGAGGTCGACACGAGGGCCCTTCCGAGGGCCGCGCTGCCACAGGAGTGCAGGAGGCACGGGTCGCGAGGCACAGAGCACAAAGGGCGCCCTTGACGTGGCAGGGTCGACCCACGAGTCCGGGCCGAGTGTGGGGGCGAACCCGCGCGCGGACACTGCTGGGGCCAGCACCCCGGTCGCCGCCAGGAAACTCGCTTTCCCCTTTGTGGGTTTCCTGGCGAGCCCTCGTCGCCACCGCCGGGTTCGCCTCCAAACTACTGGTCAGGAGGCACCCTGGGGGATGTCCAGGGAGTGGTGGTATCGGAACCTTTTGGTCTCCCCCTTCAGGCGCACTTTTTGGGAGGACGACAAGGTGGGGTAGAGACAGAGGTGGGGCTTGAGGAACATCGCTCAAAATGGCCCCTGGAAGAAGGAACAAATGGGCATCCAGCTGGGTTCGTTCCCCAACCCCACGTTGGGACAACAACGGAAAAACAATGGCCCTATGCCCAACAACAGATCTTGTCCAAAACCGACAGTGGCCGCTGTTGGACAATCGAGCGTGTGTCTCAAAAGGAGACTGGCCGCGCCGACGCCGACAGCGAATCCTGCTCAACATGAGCAGGAACTATTGCTAGACTTTGTACAGTAGGAGCTCGGCCACAAGAAACCTTCCACAGGGAACCCAAACCCTGCGACCCCAGGACGTCCGTTGACCTGTGGGTGTGGGAGCGTCACGCCGTCCGTCGCAAACCCGTGAAGCAGGGTGCCTCTTGGCACTGGTCTCCACTGCCACTCCTCCGTGCCAGGCTCGGCCCCCCCCCGAGCCGGGATCACCGCGGCCCGTGGCGGGCGCGGCTCCCCATGGCGCGGGCGTCGCTTGGGCCCCTGGCCGCTCGGGGGACGCGGGCCGCAGTCGGTCGGGGCCTGGAGGGGGAGGGGAGGGAGAGACGAGAGATGCAGGCCAGGCTCGCGCGCGCCATGCCTGACATCCTACCCCTCCCGCGCATCCTTCTACACGGTGATGATGGTTGCTAGATCCACCGACAGGGGCCACGGCGAACCGGGAACCTCCCAACAGGACCCCTCGTGTTATGCGCAATTGAGAAGAAGGGGGAGCCGTGCACGCTGGAGGAAGATGTGGTGGTGGATCGACCGCAGCTGAGGCGCAGCATGTTCTCCGAGCCTAGCAAGCAGTGGCATGCAGGCTGGAGGGATGCACTGCACTCAAGTGGGCGTCCGTGAGCTGGTCGCCGTAGGTCACCACAGCTTTGGACTTAAGGAACATACTCCAGATCTCATAACAATAGGGGGGGGTCTGCTTCTGGGGGGGGTCTAACGGGCTTCGTCAAACACAATTGTGGGGGGGTCTCGATTTTGGACCTTTTGGTGGCTGTCTGGGGGGGGTCTACTTCGGGCTGTCTTGGGGGGGGTCCCAGACCGGCCGTCAAACACTTTTTTGACCCCCCCCACGATTATGAGATTTGGAGTATTCAAAGCAAGGACGCCAAGCAATCATCGCGCTGGAGCGCGAGTGCGGGCATGCCTGGCACAGGTATTCGCTTTCGGCGGCAATGCCGAGAAGCCTCAGTGGACCGGCAGGGCGACGGAGGCGCTCACGGAGAACCAGGGCAAGAGGAGCACGAGAGGGAGGAGAGGAGGAAGAGGACGAGGATGATCGAGGAGGAGGACAGCCGAGGAGCGAGAGAGGAGGCGAGAGTCAGGATGGAGGGAGACGCAGGGACCAGCGAGGAGGAGGGCGCTGGGATCGAAGAAGCAGGGAGGGGGGGAACAGAGCGCGCGGGCGGCCGAGAGGAGCGGGCCTGGCTTTCGACTCCGGGGACGAGCGCTGCACCTGCTTCACCCTGCCGACCCAGATCTTGTGCATCTCGGGGTCAATCTGGCGCCCCGGCCCGCTCCGAGGAAGAAGGACAAGAGGAGAGAAGAACCGTGAGATGTCTTACGTTTCGCCTGCACGGCACTAGGCTGCCCAACTACTCCCTCGGTGGTGGGCGAGGCCACCGAGGGGACCGAACAAAAGAACAGCTATTCAGTCGGGCCCTGACTCGGGATCAACTCCACTGGCAGCAAGCCGACCAGCGCCAACAGCCGAAGCGTTCTAGACACCCTGCTGAGCTCAGAGAACGGGTGAAGGAACAGGAAAAGGAGGAGGAGAAGGAGAAGAAGAGAGGAGAACGAGAGGGGACAGGGCGGTTGGGGGAGGTTGGCAAGAGGGAAAGGTCGCCGAGGAGGGAGGCGGGGGACTCGCGACGGCACAGATCCAGGGACGAATCGAGCGCGACCCCGAGGAACACGCACACACACACACGCACACACACACACACACACACACACGCACACACACGCACACACACACACACACACGCACACACACACACACACGCACACACTCGCACACACACACACACACATACACACACGCACAAACACACGACCACACACACACACACACACGCTCACACGCACACGCACACGCACACACACACACACACTCACACACACACACACTCACTCACACACACACACACACGCTCCGGTGAGCGGGCGAAGCGACGAGCCACGTAGCATGGAGCCCAATGCCCAGCGCAGCAGACCAGCGCTGAGCTGAGCTTGGGGAGACGTCAAGACTCGGGTTGCGGGGATGAGGGTTGTAAGACGATGCCCTGACGGGGGTAAAATCGGGTAAGGACAGATCGAGAATCTCTGAGATCTGGCGGATCTGGACGATGCCTCGGGCGCCGCGGCCTTCTCAAAGCACTCCGGATCGCTATGAGAGCGTTCCGGAACGCTCTGCAATCTGCAACAGGTTTCCCCTTGATCTGGTCCCATCCGATGTTGGCCTAACGTGGCCATTATGAAAATGACGAGACCCAATCCGAAATTTGACGCGGGCTTCCGCTGCACACATCCCACGTAAACTGGACCAAGTCCACGAGGCGCTCGTCAAAAAGCGCCGGCAAGCACGAATTCCGGCATACTCGGGTTTGACGTTCCCCCGATAAGCGAAGCACCCAGGGACGCCCTGGGTTGAGCAGGGACCGACCGTCCCGGCATTCCTATAGTCCTACCACGAAGTGTTCTTAGAACACAGAAATTTTCTAATAACAAAAACAATGTTCGTCTAACATAAACCCGATGTGATAAAACAAAACAGACTCCGCCAGAAATGTTCTCAAAACATTTCGTGGAAACCACAAAAGGTTCTCAGAACATTGTTTGGTCGGGCTATAGGCGAGCCGGGACGCTTCGCCGCTGCTTGAAGGGAAGCCCTGGGAGCCAGAGGGTGACGAAGGGGGGCGGCGCCGGCCCCTGGGGGCAGTGGCCAGGGGGGCGGCGGGCAGAGGAAAGCCAGAGGCGGGGAGCAGCGGGCAGCAGGGAGCACACACTTATGTGGCGCCGCGGCCCTGCGCGCAGCGACAGGGCGCAGAAAGTCAAAAAGCAACCGCGAGCGCGCGCGCGCGCGCGTCAAGGCCCGCCCTGGCACTCAGACGCCACTGAGGATCTCGCAGCCGCCTGCAGCCATGAACACACACACACACACACACAGAGACACGCTAACAAACCTCACTGAAACAACGGGACTGGCGCCCATGCTGGGGGGATCAAAAAAGTACCGATACTGCCACTCCCCGGACCTCTCGCGGGATGCGTTCTGACGAGCACTTCGAGGCGAACCCAGCGGTGGCGACGAGGGCCTGCCAGGAGGCCCCAAAAGGGGAAGAACGAGGGAAAGGTAGTCACTAGCGGTATGGGTATACCTTCCCCTTCCGAGTTCCAGCAACCCTGTTGGATAAGTGTTCGGCGGTTTGTAGCCATCGGACAGAATCGTCTTGTCTGCCGCGCAGACTGCGATGATCTCGAACTGCTGGACATCGTCTTTATGCTTACCCCCATCAACGTCGTAGGCGGTAATTCTAGCGCTTCCAATACGAAGGTCTCTGCCATCTTTATCGGTACGTTGGGAATGTAATTTCGCCGGCGATGACCAAGCGACATAGACTTCCCCCATGCCAGCACTATTGACACCGTTGTGTAAATTACTCGACGAGGCATATGAACCTTCAGGTGTGATAACCAAACCGATCTCTCGGCCATCCAGCGTGGTGCCCAGCTTCGAGTAACGAATCACCTCGTCCCCTATATCCAACCCTGCGCCTCCAAGGCTACTCTGCGTAACCTCGGCATTCGAAACATCGTTTGTAGGCACACAAGTGTCCCGCATGGTAAGCCCTCGCGCGTAACCCTCCACGGAACATGCGAGGAGGCAGAGTAACGCCAGGGCTTGACAACCCATGGTGGTCTCAAGCTAATTGCAAGCATTACTCTGTCTGCGTGCGCCCTGCCAAAAGTTAAATCGCCTCGGCAAACATGGGCAATGAAGCAATGAAAGCCTGGCGGTGCAACCCAAGAGGTTCAAATCGTCGAGATACCTTCGGGTTTTGCATACTCATTTATCGTTGGACTTCGGAGCGCGCGCGACGGTCTAAGAGGCCATCAAGACCTACCAAAGAGGGCCCCCGAGGCTCCCAGGAGGCCCTGAAGAGAATGCCCGAGCGGCCCTGAGAAACACCGAAGAGGCCGATTGTCCACGTCCCGGGCAGCGCCGCGGGATGGGCCGACGGCCCCTAGATAAGAGGGTTCGGGCTGCGCTGAAAAGTGTCCCAGAAAAGCTGGGCACAGTTTGGTGGCGTTTGAGACCATGGGCGCTTGGGCTCTTGCGATCGTGCGTCACAAGCCCGGATCGCATGCCGAATAAACACTCATCTCAGTTCCCACGAGCATTCCGGGGAGCCGAGCACACGATCAACTTCCAGCAGCCCTCCGGGCGTGAGTGGTTTGGCGAGTGCCCTCTTCCATCGTCCATCTTCTCTCGGGGAAGGGTTTACCCTCCCCCTACCACCTACTGAACCTAAACGGCGTTATTCGTCTTCGTTTTGTTTGCGTTGTCCCTCGTTTTGTCTCCAATCCACCTCTACCGCAAAACGAAACCGAAACGACAAAACACCGTTTAGGTCAAGCCCTGCCCCCTACCCGTAAGTCGGGCCTGTCCTCCTACAGGGGAATTTTGGACGACAAATAAAAAATTGTAACAACAATGATCCAAACATGCTAAACAACTGATCCCCATACTAGTTATTGGCTATTTTGGACTGTCCCCCCTGTAGAGGGGCAGGCCCGACTTGACCCTACCCCTGGGTCTGGAAGAAGGGCTCCGCAGCCGAGCGGAGCGTCCGGGGTGTCCTCGGCGAGGGGGCACGGGTCATCGACTTCCCTAGGCGTTGTGCGCCCGGTTTGGCCTCCTGGGGCGGGGTGTCTAAGTTACCCCGCCCCCTTTTGTTGATCCGAGGGCGCCTACTCCAGATTTCGTAATAAAAGGGAGGGGGTCTGGACCCTCCAAGACAAGCCATTTCAGACCCCCCCCGTGGGAGAACCCTCCAAAACATCGTCCCCAGACCCCCCCAGGCCATCCAAGATAGCCTGGAAGAGACCCCCCCCGAAATGAGACCCCCCTCCCTTTATTACGAAATCTGGAGTACACCGCCCCCTTCTGTTGATCCAAGGGCGCCTAACTTCGCGCTCCGCGGTGCGCGAAGCGCAAATAGCTCTACGCTCTCGCGCCGCCCCCCAGGGGAGAAGAAAAGGATAAGGAACACATCGGAGCCGAACCGGGAAGCGCGAAGCGCAAATAACTTCGCGCCCTCGGGGGCGCCCTTGTTTACCCCGCCCCCTTTTGTTGATCGATCTCCCCGAAGATGACCCCCGAATGGCCCCCGAGGCTCCCAACTGAAGCGAAGGGGCGACGACTGAGAAATTCAGCACTTCTCCCGACCACTTCCACAAGCGCGCTCCAATGCCCGATTGGCACATAGGTGTCACTTGTGGTCGTGGGCCTCCCAGGGCTCATGGCTGAGCTCACCTTGGCGGACAGGGTTGCTCCTGTGACCGCCGAGTGCCATTCGTATATTTCCACGCACGCAGTCAGCCTAGCATGTTCCATCAGCCCGCGCAGTTTGCCTCGGGCCTTGGCGTTCCCAAGTTTGCGTGTAGATGTGCCCCATGAATATTCGTCCAGTTTATGTGCCTCACAATTTACGCCTCGTTATACTCGGCAGCGTCATTCTGCCACTCATAGCTCCTCTGATGCTGTTACCCTCTTCACTCGGACCCGGCACCGCTCAATCCAATCTCAATGTCGAATTCAATAACTTGAGGGCCTTGCGACTGCCGTTGTTTACATGCGCCAGTGCATTGAGCAACCTGTCATTCCATTCGCGGAACTTGAATATGTCTCCACGGATGCTCTTGAATGGATGGCTTGTGACTCAGACGGATATTTCGCTGACTTTGCCTTTGTTGCACCCCCACTATCTCTTGCATTCAGCGCTTCCTCGGCTACCCGCTTCAATTCGGCCACTCGGATCTTCACGAAGACCGGTTCTGCTTCGGCAAATGAGGCCGCGCTGGAGTGGCCGAACACTCGCATCATTGTCATCGCATGCTCGTTGGACAGCTCTTCGTTGGCCGATCGATCTTGTTCTGGGCCATCGCATCACGGTTGGATTAAGGCGCTGCTGCGACGAAGTTGTTACCACCTTGATCGAATGCGGCTAGGCACTTGAATCCACAATTGGCAAGATCCATTCCTGCCTGGTGCTCGGTATCGCTTGACCCGGTCTCAACGATATGACCTCGCTCCGTTACCACACAAACATAACCAAACGATGGAAACGAGGATCGGACACGAACATAAACTGAGCGAACAGCGACAGCGAACGTGCACGCGCCCTGTGCCGCCATCAGGCGGGTGAAACGACTTCAGCCAACCAACACGGATTGCGCAGAAACTTGAGGTGCTATATTGAAGCACGTCGTCTTCCTCTTCCTCCTTCGCCGCCGCCTCCTGAGGGGCAACGATCGGGGGGGACTGGCACGGGGGAATGCATCGACATGGAATCGGCGAGGCACATCGCCGATAGATCGGCGACAGGCCTCCGACAGTGAACCTGCGCCTTCCTGGGCGGGTTGGGGCCGTCGGGCCCCCATCGGCGATTCATGGGCGATGGAGGGGCGCTGCATCCCCCCCTGGATGACTGTCCCCCCCCCCTAAATCGTTGCCCCCGACCTCCGCGCCCGCCCCCCCCCACCTCCGCGCCCGCCCGCCCGCGGCCTCCCGCGCCCCCGCAGCTGCCCCTCCCGACGAGGCCTCGCCCGAGGCGTCGCCCGCCCGGGCCCCCTCTCTCGCTCCCTGCCCGGCGGCCCCCCCCCCGCTGCCAGCGCACCGCCCCCCCTGGGCCGGCGGTGCTCAGAGGGGCGCCCGAGACTGAGCCGGGAGGCTTGGGCTCCCCCCTTCCCCACTTCCGGCCGTCCTCGACGCCTTCTTCGCCCCCCTGCCGCCGGGCCCCTTCGCGGCGGCAGAAGACGCTGTCGGGCGGGGCGCCCCCTTCCCAGGGCAGGGGACGGGGTCGTGGGCCGCCAGGGTCCGTGTGCACCCAGGCACTTGGCTCTCCTACTACCTACTCACCGTCGGCCTTCTTGTTCTCGTGGTCGTCCTCAGCCGTGGCCTCCGCGACCGACGGATACAACGTTAAAACGAGTGCCTCACCCAGCATAGTTGGGCCCCTTCTGGGGTCATTCTGCTAACTGAACTAATCTTCCTCCTCCTCCTCCTCCTCCTTCTCCTGTTCCTGTTCCTCCTCCCCCTCGATGTGCTGGTGAATATTCCCACTAGCAGGAGGTTGATGCTCGACGTCTTCGCCAAGTGTGGCGTAGCAATGCAGCCCAGAAGTTCTCACCCTGAGCACATCTCTCGGATGAGGGAGCACGCCGCCACCATGACGATCCAGACAGTGTTGAAGATATCGCGGCGTTGCTCTGGGCGGATGCTGAAAGGAAATAATATAATAATGTCTTAAAGGCCTATTGAGCTGACTCTGGGTGATGACCAATGCCACCTCATTCATATATTTCGGGGTAGGTTGGTTTGCGAGAGGTGCGGGCATAGCCGTGCTGGGCGGGGCGATTTGGTAAAGCTGGTGTGTGGATGGCCCCATGGGGGGACCAAGCCGCGCACAGCTCACACCGCTTGTGGAAGACGGAGCCCAATGGTTTGGTGTAGGCTGCACAGCGCGATGCGTTTCTAAGAGCGTTCACCACAAAGTCCTTTCACTGTCGAAGAGTTAGCCATGTGGTGCAGCGGCAACGAGGCGACAACGGGTGGACACTGGCGGCATGAGCTGGTTTCACCAGCGCTGGTTTCGCCAGCGCTGGTTTCGCCGACGGCTGGCTTCGCCAGCGCTGGTTTCGCAGGCGCTGGTTTCGCCGCTGGTTTCACCGTCGGCTGGTTTCGCAGGCGGCTGGTTTCGCCAGTGCTGGTTTCGCCGGCGCTGGTTTCGCCGACCGGAGCCCTAACAGGCGGGTCGGGCCGGGCGGGCGGACCCTAGCGGGTGGGTCGGGTCGTGTCGGGCGGGCGGACCCTAACGGGCGGGTCGGGACTTGCGGGCGGGACGTTAAAGTGTGGGGCGCGCTCGACCGAGCACGCGCGAATCATAACGGGCGGGTCGGGTCGGGCGGGCGGACCCTAGCGGGCGGGTCGGGTCGGGCGGGCGGGACATAAAAAAAGGGGCGCGCTGGACCGAGCACTCGCGATCCGTAACGGCGGGTCGGGTCGGGTCGGGCGGGCGGACCCTAGCGGGCGGGTCAGGTCGGGCCGGGCGGGCGGACCCTAACGGGCGGGTCGGGTCGGGCGGGCGGGACATTAAAGTGTGGAGCGCGCTCGACCGAGCACGCGCGAACCCTATAACGGGCGGGTCGGGTCGGGCGGGCGGACCGAAGCGGGTGGGTCGGGTCGGGCGGGCGGGCGGACCCTAATGGGCGGGTCGGGTCGGGCGAGCGGGACATTAAAGTGTGGGGCGCGCTCGACCGAGCACGCGCGAACCCTAACGGCGGGCGGGTCGGGTCGGGCGGGCGGACCCTAGCGGGCGCATCGGGTCGGCAGTTTCGCCGACAGCAGCTGGTTTCGCCGACGGAGCTGGTTTCGCCGACGGAGCTGGTTTCGCCGGGCGGCGAAACCAACCGGGCGAAACTAGCCGTCGGCGAAACCAGCGGTCGCCCCACTGGCGGCCACGGACAGCAAGCGGCGAATCCTCGACTTCCATCCTCCCCAGGCGGCAACGGGCGGCAACAGACGGCAACAGCGGCAGGCCGTGTGTTGGTAGACCATCCCTGGGCCCCCCGAAGCTCTTCAAGAAAGGGTCCCGTGTGGCGAGAAGGTCGGCAGCGGGCGTTACAAGCCCGTCCCCATCCGCTCGCACAACTAATCGCTGGGTTAACGTGTACGAGCTTCTGTGCGTAGGCTTGGTGCCTCGTTTTCGGAGCCCCTCGTCGTCATCATTAGCCGCATTAGCCTCCTCATCCTCCTCATAATCATCCACATCGCCATCCCCATCCAAACTCCCATCCCCATCCCCATCCTCATCATCACCAGATCAAGCATCAGCACCAGCACCTCCATCACCATCACCATCACCATCAGCATCAGCATTATGGCCAGCATCGTCAGGAGTATCATTGACATGAGCATCACCATCACCACCACCACCATCATACGCATCATGAGCATCACGGTCATCATCATGATCATCGTCATCGTCATTATCATAATCAGCTTCAGCATCAGCATGTTCATCAGCAACATCATCATCATCATCATCATCATCATCATCATCATCATCATCATCATCATCATCATCATCATCATCATCATCATAATCATAATCATCATCATCATCAGCATCAGCATCAGCATCATCATCATAATCATAATCATCATCATCATCATCATCATCATCATCATCGTAGTCATAGTCATCGTCATCGTCATCATCATCATCACCGCCACCATCACCACCACCGACAGCATCAGCATCGGCAGCAGTATCGGCAGCAGCATCAACATCATCATCCTGATCCCAATACCATCACCATCACCACCAGCACCAACATCATTACCCTCATCATCAACAACAATAACAGCTGCATCGCCATCACTATCACCACCACCATCATCAGCAGCATCACCATCATCAGCATCAGCCTCACCATCATCATCACCATCATCATCCTCACCATCAGTATCACCATCACCATCACCATCATCATTACCATCACCATCACCATCACCACCAGCAGCACCACCACCATCACCATCATCAGCATCATCAGCGCCAACATCATCAGCATCAGCATCAGCATCATCCTCATCCTCATCCTCATCATCGTCCTTGTCCGTATCGTCGTCGTCGGCTCCGTCGTCGTCCTCCGCTTCCTCCCCCCCGCTCGTCCTCCGCTCCCGGCCTGCCGCCGCCGCCGCGGGGGCCTCGTTGGGTGGCGCCACGGACACAGTGGCCGTGATGCGCCCGTCCCTGCGGGCCTCGCGGCGGACGGAGCGCCGCCCCCCCCCTTGGTGTGCCCTGCTCGTGCCCGGAGCGCCGCGCCCGCCGTGGCGGCCCCTCGGGGGGGCGGGCGGTGCTGGAGCGTGCGCGCCCGACTGCGAAGGGGCAGGTGGAGAGGGCAGAGGGAGGGGGGGAGGGGTGAGAGAGAACGAGAGAGAGAGGGGGCGAGAGCTGGAGCCAATATCCCGCTTCCCGCCCCGAATGAGTCCAACAGAGAGATACCTTGGAGGTCAGGCCCAACACCTCAAGGACACTCTCTGAAACCCGCTGGTGGCAGGGGGAAAAAACTGCGTACCCAATGTGATAACACACGCGTAAGTCAAGTAATTTCATCGTCGGCCGCAGCCTGAGAAAGGGCAGGAGACGATGGGGGGCGGGGATGCAATTCGCCTACCAGCAATGTGCTCAGCATGATGCCCAAACTGGGCCTCGTCCACTCCCTCTTCTGTCTGGCTGACCACGTGTGCATGCGTTGGGGGGGAGGGTTGCAGAACGTTGTCGGCAACGCGGTTGCTTTCTCATCGAAGCCTGCAGCTCAGCTCGGACCCTGATGAACTCGAGATTGGCATCCGTCCTGCTCCTGCTCTCGAACACACGCTAGCATGGATTCGAGATCCATGGATCTGGCGCGTTGGCGCCATGTCCAGGGATCAGGGAAGGCGCACCCAACACACGAGGCCTCCCTCGGCGGTGCTGCGGGACCCGTCGCTAATCCACTCGCCTTAATTCAAGATGCGTGAGGGGCAACGAGAAGGGGGGGGCTGGCTCGGGTGGGGAAATATCGGCCGGGAATCGGCAATAGGCCCTCGATAGCGAAACCGTGGGGTCCTGACGCCCCCGCGTGAGCCTATCCCGCCAAAGCGTTGCCCCTGATTGCGCGTCCGCGATTCTCATCCTGCTCACCCCCACACCCCCGCCCCCCTCTCCCTCTAATCTCGGGCGGAACCCAAGAGCGGGAACCCGATCCCACCGTGAGTCCCAAGATCCACCCCTCTTTCCGTGTTTCTCGCTCCTGCCTGACGCCGCGCCGCCCCCCGTCTGTGAATTGGGCCTGGGTGGCCTGGCTTTTCTCGCTTGATCGACTTCCCGTTCCTTCGGGATCGATTGGGGCAGCTGGACTGGGACCCTCCGGCTAGCCCTCGACTTCCCACGAGGCCTGACGGGAGCGCGCGCGATCCGCTCGCCGCCCGAGGGCCCCTTGGCAGAGGGGGGCGGCGCCTCGAAGAACTTCCGGAGGAAATCCGTGGTGTGTCGCAACGGGTCCCTCGACGCGCCGGAGGGCTGACGCGGAGGAGGAGGAGGACCAGGGTAAACCAAAGAGTCATCAGCGATAATGGAATTGACCCTCCTTCCAAGCTCCCTCTTCATAGGCCCCTACAAAGGTTCATTTCCATTGAGGGAACTGCCCCGTTGGAAGACACCCTTGAAAACCCTGAAGCATGCCAAAACATTGTTCTCGGGATTTCAACGCCACGGATCAACCTGACTGCTGCGTCTTGACGATCCGGAATCGTCCCAAAACGCCGTTTCTGGGACTTCAACACCGCGAATCAACATAACTGCTGCACCCGCATAATCCGGAATCCTTCCAAAACAAAATTTCTGGTACGTTGATCACGGGAATCCGTGACACCCTGCCAAATGTAATGAACGAATGTGCACGGCGCTAAGGCGACAGCCACATTTTGAAAACCACCCGCCCTCAATCCGTGAAACTCTTGCGAATGTTTAAAACGAATGTGCAGGGCGCTATGGCGAGAGCCACATTTTGAAAACCACCCGCCCTCAATCCGTGAAACTCTTGCGATGTCTTACAACGAACGTGCGCGGCGCAAAGGCGAGAACCACAGTTTGAAAAC